GATGTACTTCATTTTGGAAAGACCGTGTGCCTTAGTACTCTATTCAGTTGACTCTATGTGTCGAGATATTTTACATTTGATTTAGTTTGTCAGTCGTACTTCATTTTATTCAGCTGGAACATGATTATGAGTATTTGGACATATTTTTTCTTTATCATGTTCATTACAGTTTTACCTTATTTTATATGCTTTGTACCTACACTTGTTTATTGTTGATTCCACTAGAGAGATATTACTGTGATGGTAAAACGTGTTATTTCACAGTGTTGGTGTATGACATGTTTGACATCATTGGGTTCACCTTGGACTGTAACTTTGTGTGAAACCTGAGGCATCACATTAGGATTTGGGCTAGGGTTTAGAGATTTGGATTTGGAAATCCATGGCTATTTGAGAGAGAAAGATACGGGGTAGGGGGAGAGAGTTTTGAGGGTCTAATTTCAATATACGAAAGATTTGCAGGATTAATACTTGAAGAACCATTAAGCTTATAATTAATTAAGAAAATGTACTCTACACATGCTTTAGGTTAGGAGTAAAATGAGAATTTCACACCTTTTTAGAGATAAAAATTGACAAGGTGTGTATTGCAAATAGTTATGTGAGTGAAGGTGGTTTTGATCAAAAATGAAAACCAAAGGTGATAATTATCAATTTGGATAGAAGTTAAGATGAGTTTTCGTGTAAAACCCCTAAAATATATCAAATCTAAAATAAAGAATCAAAGTATTTGACCACATGCAACAAACGTGCATTCCGCCTAGTATATGTCATAGGGACAATGGACTTTTCATTTATTAACAAGTTTGATTAACTATTTAGAAAATTTCAAAACAAGAGAAATATTTGGGCATTATTATATTTTGGAAAATGGGTTCAAAGAATTCTTAATTTGTTGGAACAATTTCTCAATTGTTTGATGTTGTATGAGAGGCTCCTTACTTTGTTGATAGATAAACAAAATAATTCTTATGGATATATAAATTTAGAAACAATATCATTTTAAGTGATTGTTATGAAGAAGTAATGGTGGTTTCAGATTTGAAGCAATGATGATTTAGGGAGAAGATGAAAGATGAAAGTACGATGCTACACTTTTATTACAAACTAGTATGGTGCACGTGCGATACACGTGTAATAAGTTTCATGTTTATATGTAGCCCCAAAGTTCTTGTTGATAATGAATGAAAAATAAACTGTGGTGCAATAGGAGAAGGAAAAGGAAGATTTAGCAACTGTGAAGAGGCGAATTGCTATGACTTTCCTAAAGAAGGCTATGGAAAAGTTACGATATTAGAAACAAAATACATGTAGAATAAACTCTTTGTTCATCACACCTCCACACTCAATGTGAATGAACAATTCATAGAAAATATCACCTCACAAAAATATTCTACTGCTCGTCCCACTCATCGTTCTTATACGAAACCAGCGTATCCACTATGTGTATCTGAACAACAAAAACACGAAGGGAGAAGGTACGATATTAGAAACAAAATACATGTAGAATATTTTATATATTAATTCTCTAAATTACTTCAATATGATGGCTGTTACCTTGCGCATTATCTACTTGATAAGATTAAAATACTTTATTTCTCATTTACCGCTCTATAATTAACATTCTTTAAACAGAAACATGTTAATTGTCAATTTGAATAGAATTAAGATATTGAATCCCATCAAAGAGTTCTGACATGGAAAAAAGACAATATACATAGCGAGATTTTCTGCACTTATGTTTTGAAACTAAAAGAAGACAATTAAGTACACCGAAATATTCTTGCAATGCTCTATGGTATTTCCCTCGAGCAAAAAAGATGCTAAGAATCAATGAATTTATATAACAACTTGATAACTGTCTATAAGAAACATCTAATGAAGGAAACATAATGAAAAAACATCAATCATCTGATATTTTCAATGAAATTGCATCTTCTTAAACAATTTGGCCATTTTATTTCCCGACAAGCATCAACATATAATTTCATTGTGCATAGTTAATCATTAGAAGTTGATGATATAATGAACTTTGTACTCTTACAGAAAAAACTATGCAAAGGTGATTATACAATTAACTTTACACTCTTGCAGAAAAAACTACGCAAACCTGGCAAAAGTTATCTCATATGTTAACAGTAGGAGCCTCTTAACGAAAGCATTTTAATCAAACTAAGGAATGTCAAAACCAAGTTCCACATGAAAAAGTATGAAAGCTGTTTTAAGAGAGGGGAACTTAGTAGATCAGATAGCTGCGCGAGCGCCACTTGCCTCCATTGGGCTCTGATTCATAGAAGTACTCACCGACGGAAGATAAGGATCCTTGAATCAAATATAATTGTGCAGAGTCATGATAAGTGGCATTTGGAGGCTCCGATAGACTCACATTCTCATAGGAATGATGCACAGGATTAGCCTCAGGCATATTAGGCCTAGGATATCTGTATCTGCAAATGGATAATTGTGGCTTACAGTAGTCTGATTGAGTGATTGTTTTCCCAGCAAGCACAAATGGATGGCATGATTATTAGAATAAATAAACAGCGAAATTCCAGATTCCGTTACCTTGAGCTTTGTAAGGATTGTTGTCGTGTTATATCTGAATGCCCACCCCAGGTGCTATTGGGATCATTTGCCAGGTTCCTGTAAAAATAACTCGTAATATATTTTTATCCAGACACCGGGCTATTCTTTTAGTAACTACACTGAACTCGCAGAGTACAGAATGAAATATACAGCTCGGCCTCCAACCATTCTTGAGGACCAAAATAAGAGCAATTTTTTAAAAAAAAATTAGCCCAAAAGATTAATGAAGAATTCAAAATTAAATTGGGATTTAGAAAATCTAACCTGATAACTGAGAGGTGAGGCTAGTAATGAAAGACTTGACCCCCTCATCTTGAGTCAGAGGCATTGATAGCCCGTATTTCTTCACTTTTGTAAAGCTCTCTTCTAAATACACTCCCCGATATGACAGAGGCATTGATAGCCCGTATTTCTTCACTTTTGTAAAGCTCTCTTCTAAATACACTCCCCGATATGAGACTGATGGTTTATATGGCTTCTATTATTCATATAACATTCAAACCTCTCTTTAATTTTTTTCATGCCTATTCAACTCTCATTTACTCTTTCAAAGATAACTCCCAACCCTTCAACTTTTCTTTAATTTTTTATGCGTGCATTCAATTGTCAGCTATCATGTCAAATATAACTTACAATCTTAATTTCAGCGTTTTTATTCTTATACGTACACAATCAAAATTGTAGATTCACTCACAAATGTACCCAAATTATTAGACTATGCAAATGAGGAACATAAATTATTTGGGATGTGAATGGTTTGATGGCATTAATATTGGATTAGTGGAGGGGTTACAAAAAAACATAAATTATTTGGGATGTGAATGGTTTGATGGCATTAATATTGGATTAGTGGAGGGGTTACAAAAAAAAGTTAATATTAGTGTACAATTAATAGGAGAGTTATGACATTATTAAGAATGTATGGATATATATGTGTTTATATGTATGCATGTATGTGTTTTATGGATGTATGTATGTGTTTTGAAGGGTATTTTCGGGAGAAATGTTTTAACATACCAACACACTTTTATAATAGTATTTAATATTTAATTTAATAGGAGAGTTATGACATTATTAAGAATGTATGGATATATATGTGTTTATATGTATGCATGTATGTGTTTTATGGATGTATGTATGTGTTTTGAAGGGTATTTTCGGGAGAAATGTTTTAACATACCAACACACTTTTATAATAGTATTAGATTAGATTAGATTAAATGAAAATTAATTTAAGGAGCACTAAAGCAAACCTAATTAACTTAAAGGATAAATTTCAAAACCCCTCAAAAAATTTGGATCCTTTCTATGAAACTTCTTTGAACTTTGTTTTACCCCACTACCCTTAGTTTTTTTTGCAAAGCTCCTAGCTTTTCCTGCAAACCCATAGCTTTTTCCACGCAACAAATAACTTTCTTTTCTCTGAGGTGCAAGTTAAATGTTGCAGATCCTTATTCTTTTTTTTCTTCACTTTTTCAAAAATTTCAAATCTCATGTATTCAACATATAATATTTCCTTCAAACATTAGAAAACTATGAAATTTTAGATTAGTTTTCAAAAATAGTTTTCTCATCCAAACTCATTTAATTGAAGATATATTTTTATTGTTTGAAAGTTATTATACAAATCTCTATAAAAGCATCCCGGACAAAAACTAACTCCGGACAGAGATAATGGTTGAAGGCTAACGATGTTGAAGTTAGAGGATTTCTAGGATAAGTCAGGGTTTAATTGTAGAAAATAAAGTTCATATGGTTTCATTAAGAACGACAAGTTTTGAGGGTTTTCTGAAATTTACCCTAGGTCCCATGGATTTGGATGCAAAAAAGGGCAGGGAGGGAAATATGGTTGAAGTAAGCCCTAATGAGAGTGGAAAATGGGAGACTGTGATAAAATTAGTTGTGTTTGGATAGATAACTATGGGAAGAATGTGTACGCTATATTTTTTATTTGTTTAAAGAAGAGAATATGAATAGAGAGAAACCACATGATAAATGTAACTTAATTCTAGGAACAATTGGAAATTTGCTTCTTCTAGCCCTTCCAATACTTACTCTCACTAATTAAAAAATATAAACAAACATAATTTTAAAATGCTTAACATTGTAACCTTTCTACTCCTCTTCTCCCTCTTTGAAAAAAAGCTAACCCATGTAAGAAAAGCTTTTAAAAAAAAAATAAACAAACATAACTTCAGAATGCTCATTGTAACCCCCCCCCTCCCCCCCTCCTCCTCAAAAAAGGCTAACCCATGTAAGAAAAGCGCTTTAAAAAAAGCTAACCCATGTAAGAAAAGCGCTTTAAAAAAAGCTATTCCTCCCCTCCCCCTTTGAAAAAAAAGCTAACCAATGTAAGAAAAGCGCTTTAAAAAAAAACTTCTTTCAACTCATTATAAAGTTAGGGACGGCTTGGCTTGAAGTAATTGTGATATGGGGTTATCTTTGTCCCTCACATTTGGAAACCAAACATCACAAAACCCGAAGAAGTTAAAACTCCCGTATGCCCCTCCAAAACCTCTTCTATTTTGTTTCTTCAGCAAAATTTCTGGGAACCAGAAAGGGAGTCAAAAAAATAAAAAATAAAAAATAAAAAATAAAAAATAAAAAATAAAAAATGGAGGATTTTGACGATTGGGGTTTAAGCGCAGAAGACTTAGATTTCTTAGAAAAAGACGCCATTAACAAGCTCTCACAAAAGAAAACCTCGCCTGCGATCGCCCCTTGCTCTTCTTCTCCTCTTGTCCCTCCTCAGCCTGCCATTAACAAGATCCCTACTTCGAGAAATTTCGAGCAGTTTCCATCGTCGACGACCTCCGTGGATTCTTGCCATGCAAGGGTAAATCCCTCAGAATCCCTTTGTTTATTTGCATTGTATTTGGTTGCATAATTTGGGGTCAGTTTTTAGGTTTTCGTGTTGATTTTGTGGATTTCTTTAAAATTTAGGCTATAAGTTTTGTTAGTTGATTGTTTTAGATGATTTTCTATGAAAAAAATTTCATTTTGGTACTTGGTTAGAGCGGACAATTTGATCTATTCGCCAAAATCCTCTTTGTTTGCATTGTTTGGCGTATGGCAATGCTTATATGGATGTACTTAGAAACTAAAGGCTCTATTGAGGAGAGAAATTTAAATTATAAGTGTTTTTATTTGATTGTTCTTGATGGTTTTCTATGAAAAATTTCATTTTGGTACCTGCTTAGGGCGGTGAATTTGATTGAAGGAACTAAGGTTTTCCTTATTAGGTCCATTTATTCCCACATTGACTAGTCAATTGTGGGTTTATAAGGGATTTGGGTTCCCTCCCTCCTCTAACAACTAGCTACCTTTTAGAATGAGTTCTCCCAGGTCTCTTGCTTTCTTGTACTCAGATTAAAAAAAAAAAAAATCTTTCCTCTTATCTTCTCATGTGGTTCTTTGCTTAGCGGATGCTAGAATTCGACTTCCTGATTTCTGGTGCATTAAGACATATGATTAAAGCTAACCTGCAAATAAATTTTGTTGGAACTTTCCTTCAGTCTTCTTTGTAGACAAACTTTGATCCATTTTCTATGCGTAACGTCTTGGTTGTAGTGCTTGAACAGTTGAATTATAGGTTTTCTCANTTTATTCATCATAATATTATATTTTTCTCTTTTTTTGACATCCGTTTATGTTTTACCACCTCTTTAGTAACATTGGTTTGTAGTTCTGCAAACTTCTTAGGTGATTCGCTCCTAAACTAATTTATTTTCTCTTATCAAGGTTGAAGGTTCTCCTTCAAGATTGCATGTATCCGGAGAAAATGGTATTTCAATCTTTCGCTTTCTTGCTTTAATCTATCTTTTCTTTTAACTGCTGCAGGTGTTATTTTGGTTGGTAAATTGGATTCTGATGATTTATGTTGTATGTTGGATTTCTAGATAACAATAGTGCGGTTGACCTTCAAAAGGTCTCTGTCCGACTATACCTACATGCTAGTGGTGCCATTGCCGCAAAGTTTCCCTATCACACGGTATATTATCTGCCCTACAGCCAATTTACTAACCGCATTATTTTAGTAACCTTTTTCTTGGATATGTTTGTCAAATCCCCAGTTACTTGTAGAGGCTTTTCACAAGATTCCCAAAGCTAGCTGGCATGGGAAAGAAAGGTTGTTCTTGTAGGCTTTATTTAATTCTCGGTCATTCCTTTGTAGTTTATGCCATTGTAAGTGGCTTTATATGCTATCTGGTCTTCATAATCGTTCATCGTGGTATGCTCAGGGTATGGATGTTCCCGATCTCCTCTTTGGCAACAGCTGAAGAGGTTCTAAATCAAGTAACTGGTGTAGTTGTCGAGGTAAGATGTCATGTTTTCTCAACATTTTATCTTCTAACATCAACTTTTGTATCATTATATTACTTCTTTTGATTTATTCAAATGACTTGAAGTAGAAATACAAAAGGATACAAGTTACCATATCCTAGGCTTGTTTCAATCATGTATACCTATTCTTTTTGATCTATTCATGCCAGTAGCTCACGTAAGGGTACAATCTGCCAGGTCCAGAAGCTAGACCCTCTGGTCTACCGTGCCCTTACTGCCGCTACTGCTGTTCCAGACCTTAGGGGTGAGTGCATGCTGTTATGGTCCGTGATCACACCAATTTTATTTAGAAAATACTGTACACATTTCAAATTGCAGCTATTTAGTTGAGGGGGTCTTATCATTCCCCCCCTTCTTTGGCCTCCATATAATTTATGTTATATTGTGCATTCAAGGAATGAATGAGAGAAGCTACCTTGTAGAAATTGGAGGGGCAACTTACTACTAGATACTTCTATGTAAATTACAGGTGTTTGTATGCAAAGTTAGTCTTAATATTGTTTGGAATTTTCTTTTACCCGTAGAGCAACTCTTTTTGCAGCTCATACTTGTGCATGGTATTATGCCAAGTTATTAGGAATATACCTCTCAAAGGTAATATGTTAATACTGTATACTGACATATAATTGGTTTTACGTAATGAAACAAAGAACAGAATGACATGCCAATATAACACGAAGAGAGCACTTTGTGCAACATGGTATGCCAAGTTTTGGCCAATCAAAACATAATATTACAAATTTTCAATATGATGAACAATACCGTCATGTTTTTTTTTTGATATTTTGTCTAATGGTTATATAGAACAACAATTAATGCCTCACACATTTGCATTGCATCATTGCCTAATAGTTGGCTCTTCATATTCCCTCTGTCCTTTGTACACTAGTTAGATGATTCTCAAAATTCCTATATTGATATATTTTAGAATTAATTAAAGCATTATAATTGCAAGTAATTATTGTGACAATTTACTTAATATTTGGAAAAGAGGTGAAGCCCGGTGCATTACAGAAGTCCAGGAAGAAGCTGGACCAGTTTGAGTCTATTGTGCACGCCTTGCATTTTTTTAATAAGAGATTTTTTCCGCACCTCGAACCCGGGAGCTTCAGCTAACACGATAATAACTCTTACTGTTGCGTGAGGGCTCCCCTACTTTACCTATATATTTACTTATGATGAATATCAACCATAAAACTTTGTCTAGTCGATGGAGACAATTGACATTGGTTGTTAAATCTCTTTCATTATACAATAGTTTTATTAGTTCAATGCCCTTACATTTATTAATTGAAAGTCATCCTAGTTTATTAGTACTTACTACTTACGTGACAACAGATCTCAATTTGGGCAATGCATATAGGAAAAATATCCAAGAACTCTGAGATCATATGCAAAAAATTCCCATGGCTCTTGAAATGAATGCTATAACATCACGTAGACATTCTAGAATTGTTTAACTCGCTAAGTTGACATTTAAACGTGGTCAAGCCATGTTCTAGTAGTGCCCATATTTGACCACTACTTGCCTAAAGCTATGGTTGTGGTGGAGATCTATGCATAAATCAGAGATGGAAACATTCGCAAATAAAAAATTTTCTGGAAAAAAGGATTTCATGCTTTAAAAAATGAAGTGTATATTTTTAGACAAGAAAATTTTGTACTTATCTTATTTTTTTATTAGCTGGGCGTGTCATGGTAGAAGTGTGCCTTTGCATGTTTTATCTCTTCTTGCCAAGAATTGCAGATAGCCCTCCTCAGAGTTCTATTTCAAAGTCTCGATTTCTATTTTTTCTTAAATATTTTGACTGATGTTGGTACAACCAATAGATAGACTTCGAATTTTTTATACTCCACTGAAAGATGCACCCTTTGTGGGGCTCAAGAAGCATGAGCTGTGCATCTTTGTGTTGTGTTACACTGTTACTTAATAATAATAATAATTTATAATTTGATTTTGAACAGTAATGAGTCCTGGGAATTATGGTACTGTTGCAGGTTATTGTATACTTCACATAAAGTTTATCAGCTTTTAGTTTTTTCATTAATTTGTCTTCATCAAAATACATAATTGAGAGGATATGATCTCTCTTGCAGTTGGAGTTTGCTTCTCAGGAATTCATGAAATTTAATTTTAATCTTTTCTGAGAAGCACTCATTGTGAACTAAATTTCAGAATGTAAAAAATGAACATGAAGCAAATGAACTTTTATAGAAAAAAATGGAACTTTTAGTTTTGTTTTCTTATTTTCTCTTTTGCTTTTTGTTTACTTTTCTCATTTCTATAAAGATCTGATATTTGCTTCAAGTAGAAATGTACATCTCTCAGCTCTTTCTTGTTTATTCTATTTGTTAATTCCTGATCAAGGGGCTTTGCAAATGATGAAAGATATTGGAGATTTATCTGTGATACATTGTACTTTGCACAGAGCCTTTAAAACATATATTAGAGTGCTGCTGGACACTGTTAACTAAATGTAGTTCTTTATATTAGTTTACTTGGTCGCTAACTTTCTAATATTCTGAGCAGCTCTGTATGATAAAATGCCAAGCTATATTGAATCTAAACTTCTGCCCTTTCAGCGAGAAGGAGTTAGGTATGTGCATGCTATTTCTTATTTGGTTAAGAAAATTGTATTTACAAGAATTGAAAGTTTGACATGTTTGTAGAGGAAAAGAGCAACAAATTGTTTTTTCCTTTGCTACCTTTACTAGGTCATATGGTTGAAGAAAACGAACAAAGTATAAAGTTTTCTCTTTTTTTTTTGGTTCTCTGTATCACTTTTTGTTCATTTAGAACTAAATTGCATTCATATAGTCTTTTTTCGTTTATAATTTTTAATCACTGCATAACTTATTTATGTGTACTTAGTTCGTTGTATTATTACTTCTGCTTACTCTTGTTCAGTAGGGATGAAATGCATAAACCATTAATGGTTAACATCTTATTGTTCTCATCATAGTTGCCAAACCTCTGAACAGGATGTTCTGCAAAACTAGGTATTTTCACCTTTTTAAAGGTCATATGATGATTATGGTCGTGACATTGCCTTGATTTGCTTACAAGGTTATACTAGGAAAATGCATTTTCAACATGATGTCATACGCAACAATTTCTGCAATTTTGTACTCACAACCTGAGTGCCTTCTTATGTGATATTAATCCGTTATATATCTGCATTAGGTTTGTGTTGCAGCATGGTGGAAGGGTGCTTTTAGCTGATGAGATGGGACTGGGAAAGACATTACAGGCACAAACTCTGTCCCCCCAAATCTCTTAGTTCTTTCTTCTGCTTACCCTGAATCGTACTTCTCAGAAAGATCCTAATTTATGAGTTTGGACTGCTTTACAAATGTCCAATTATTTTCAGCTGATAGCTATTAATGCTTAAGTTTACAGAGCGTTCCTAGAAATTGCTAAATGAGCTATTGCTAAGTTGCAATCTGGTATGATTAGAGGCATTACATGTCAGGCCAATCCCAACTTGTTCAATGCAGTGACTTGACTATGTCTTGTACGCTTGTAGATTGCTGTGGTTTATCAAGAATTCTAAATATGAAGATAATTTTCTTAGTTTTTCTTGATTTGTTTCTGAAAACTTGCAATGACTTAATGATAAGTTAGGCTGTCGTTTGTTTTAATTTAGTTTCCGAATTCAGCTCAGCAAACGATCCTTCCAAGTTTCCAACTTCATTTGTAAATTTGAAGATGATATCAGAGATACTCCATGGCCATAGGAATGACAGCTTTGGCTGTAGCTTCTATTAAGTGACGTACTAGAGTTGAGCTCAGTCTCCTAAACTTGGGTTCATTTTGTCAAACATATATCTTGTGCCTCAGCTTTCTATTTCTCAATTTTTTTTATCAGACAGATACCTCATGGCTAAACTTTCTTTCTTTAAAACCTTTTTGATCTATGCAGGCAATTGCTTTTACTGCTTGTGTTCATGAGTCCTGGCCAGTTCTTGTTATTACCCCCTCTTCCTTGCGTTTACATTGGGCTTCTGTAAGCTCTTCTGCGACTGGCATCATATAATTTTTCTTTCTGTTTGTGTCTTGCCAAGTTTATAACTCATAATGTAGACTTATATGAACTGATCAATTTCTCTGTTGTCTAATTTTCTTTGCAGATGATTCAGCAATGGCTCAACGTTCCCGCAGAAGATATCTTGGCATGTATCTGATCACCTTTACAAGTCTTTATCCTTTCTCTTGTTTTGAATTCTTACCTGTGTCATTCTCTAGTACATCCTGTATAATAATGCATGTAATAAACACCATTTGGACTGGCCTGCCTCATTTATATATGATATATAACATTGATGCTTTACTTAAAAAATTAATGTCAGTATCCAATGTTTTCATTGCTAGTCATAGATAAGTTTTTTCGTCTGTGATGAGCTTCTTATCACATTGTTTTTTCAAAACATGCATCTCTTATGCATGAGTTTAGAAGGTTAGGCAGCATGTATTGATACCTCTGATTAGGACCACATTATCAGATTATGCAGAATTGAGAATAGATGGTCTTAATGTTTTTGTATATTTTTCGATGTTGAAAGTTCCCAGAAAATTGAAAAATGTCCCAATTAGTTGAATGACAAGTAGTGGTCAGAGATCAACAAAAATCTTCTCGCAACAGGAGAGGAAAGGACTGAAGCAAACCTGGAATGAGAAAAATAGAGACGCCAGAACAAAGGAAAAACATTATAGTGTCTTGCTAGACTACTGTCCTAAGAGAATGAGGTGAGTGCCTTTTTGGGCTGAAAGAGAGGTCAATGGGATTCTTCTTAGAAATTGGATCTAGTCTCTTAAATTTTGTTTAATCAATTGGGTCCTTAATTGCTAACAAGTCCTCTCTCTTTTTAACTTTTGTACGATAAGTCGATCAAAGAAGATGTGGACATCCTTCAGTTTTACTGCAATGTCAGTGCCAAAATTGTTAATGTCCCACTCCTAGTTTTTTGCTGGTTTATACATGGACATATGACATCCTCTAAAAAATTACATTGGAAAAGCTGCTATGATGTGAATCTCGATGTGTTTGGTTCTTGGCTGTGTTAATAGAGTTGGGATGGAAAGATGACAATTGCAGATAATTTGTGGAGGAGCAAGGATGTGATTTAGTAGATGGGTAAATTGGCTTTAACTTCATTCTGAGTTAGAATTGATGAAATATTCTGAGCATTAGTATTTTAATGTAACAAGAGGTACTAACTTGGTGTAAAGTAAATGATTCTGGGATCAGTATGAAAATAAACATAATTTGAGCGACTAACAGGAAACAACCCGATTGAGGGAGTTCTAGGAAAATAGTAAATAACAAATATTTTAAAGTTGAGGACGCATCTAGTAAGTGATCAAGTGCGTATCCCCAGTGTCAAAGAAGTGTCATCTGCCCACGTGTTTAAGATACCATGACAGAACTAGAAGTTTCGTGATACATTCTACCTGTTTTATCATATGATATGCTTTGGTTCTTTCGCATTTCACCATATGACATATTCTTTTGCCCTCCTACCCAGATCAGCCTCATCCCCCTAACATGTGCACACACGTAAACACACTCAGATCTTGTGATATATTGAGAATGAATTTATGTTTTGTGTTTGGTCTCTTCTGGACTCTTTCTTAATCTGGAGATACTTGGAGGTTTGCTCCTTTTTTGCTTTAACTTAAACTGCATAACCAATAATTGATTTCTCAGTACCTGCCAACTTGCCTACTATCTAGTTCAATAAGCCCTTCTTTCAAGGATCTTCAGGAATACCCTCTTAGAATTGGTCTCAACCATACATGGAAGTGAAAAGTTTTTGTCAATTTATTTTTCAGGAAGCCTTCTGGAAATGAAGTTTCACTTTATAGCCAAGAACATCTTTTGATTGGAAGAGGCTAAGATGACAACAATGATCATATGTATAGAAGTACTGTTGTGGTTCATTATGTCCCTATGCAATACAAATATTATTCTTCTGATTTCTGGCTTAAGTGCTAAAGCATTTAGAAATATACTTTTGTTCAACTGGTGATGGGACCTGATGGACTTAGATTATTGAACCATGGAGCATAAATTGTTATATTAACAGCCGGATATATGTATGTTGAAGGATAATATCTGAAAATTTCATGGTCCCAATTATTATGTGTATTCTTGTTGATTGCTATAAGACAACCTAAGTGACGCCCTATGTGTCGAAGCTTGATGGTGATAAAAGACCTGCTATTTTTCACTAAAACTGATACAGGAGCTCTTGAGTCTTCAATAGTGTGATAAAAGACCTCATGCACTTGCACTTCTTCTCTTTAACAATGTATGATGGAGCAATACATAGACGTGGGTGCTTATAGTTGTAATTTGGTTGTCTTGATGTGAATCCTTACTATGCGGTAGGAGTCAGAAATTTTATACTTTGATTACAACCTAGTTATTAATGAAAATTTCAATCATTATAAAGGCCACCCCTATTTCCCCTTTCCATTCAATCCATACATGCAAGTGTACAGTAGAATATACCTTAGAACTGATGTAATAGTGGGCTGTTTTGTATGCAGATACTTCTATCTTCAACAGGAGCAGCAAGCAGAGGAGGATTTACGATATTGCGCTCAAATGTAAAGGCTGATATTAGCTTCAGTGGCATATTCAACATAGTCTCTTATGATGCGATGCTTAAGTTCCAAAATATAATTATGGCTTCTGAGTTTAAGGTAATCAGCAATTTTCTTTTCCTTATAATATACTTATTTAAAATATATATATATATTATTATATTACTTATATATATGAGAGAGAGAGAGAGAGAAATGAGAACCTTGGTACCAAGTTGTTTAAAGCAACTTGGTAGTGATGTGGCCTAATCTTGCCCCTACATCACACACTCGAAGATAGAGCCTCAACCACCCTTCACCAACTCCAATGTAGATTGTAGGGACAAGATTTAGGCACATCACTACCAAGTTGCTTGGAGCAACTTGGTACCAAGTTTCTTGGAGCACAACTTGGTACCAAGTTTCTCCATTTCTCTCTCTCTCTCTTATATCTATATATTATATATTATATATATAATATATATAATACTATATTTAAGATTTTCTGCTACTAGTAATAACAATACTTGTTCAATATTTTTTAGTAAAACTGTAACATTCTTCAACTCACAAACACATGCACAAAGATGCACTTTATTTTGCGAGTCCCTGAAAGCAAATTCTTCTCATCCAAGCACAAGATGCTCAATTCATATTGCAAGGTTACTTCATTGATCTTCATTTACAACATTTATAAATCCTAGACTCGAAACTGAAACGCGAGGAGTTTTTCCCCTATGCATCAAGTGACTATCAAATGGGCATCCAAAAAGAATTTTGTTTAATGGTTTATGGATAATTTAACAGTTGATTTGAAGACTTTCAAACCCTTGCACACCAGTTTTTGGATTTTCGAACTTGGTAATTTAGCTATCTATTTTCTGTCCACTACATGCATATACACAGCTTTTTGCATTTGGTTTTCTGCACTATAAAGCTTCTAGATCAAGGTGAATGGAGTTATGCGCAATTTGAATGGAAAGATCGAAATCCTTTTTGGAGGAAAAACTATCTCTTGTTCTGTGTTGTGTATCTGTGCGCATTTGTCTTTTGTGTGCTTGCTTACTTATCCTTGTTTTAGTCTTGAGCCTGCTACTCACTTTTTTTTAAATCTGGTGCTGGTTTAGATTGTAATCGCTGACGAGTCACATTTTTTGAAGAATGCTCAAGCTAAGAGAACAAGTGCTACTCTTCCTGTTATTCAGGTTTGGCATTTCTTCACATCACACTGGACAAGTCCTGTGATGAACATTGTTACAATTGAGGCTAACTGTTGATTTAAAATTTTTTTAAGGGATTTTTGCTTTTAGACCCATTTGTTTACTCCCATTTATCTTTAAATCCAAGTACTATTATTTGTATCTTTAAGCCCAATTCACCTTTTATATTTATCTTTAAACCCAATCTTCAAAATACTATATTTTCACCACTTGTTTTTATATTTTGGAGATTGAGTTTAAAAATAAGTATAAAAGGTGAATTGGGCTTAAAGATAGAAATAATAGTACTTGGGTTTAAAGATAAATGGGAGTAAACAAATGGGTCTAAAAGCAAAATCCCCTTTTTTTAATCTGGGAAGTTGGTCATGGAAATTTAGTTATCTTGTTGCTAGCCTCTCCATATTTCATGGTCATGGAAAAATATGCTAATGATGTTTTAATAAAGTAATTTGTTTTAATTAAAGTAAGGTTAGAGAAGGAAATCATGATAATGATAGTCCTTGCTATTTTTCCAATATCGTCTGCTATTTTCAACTTATGAAATAATGACCCATTGACTATCTGCTTAAGTTTTTACATATAGTGGTTATCTGATAAAAGGACTACTTGTACAATAGTAAATCATCAGAGTCAAGATTCTTAGTAATTTTCTCCTATGGGTGGCACAATGTTCTGGAATAAAGTTTTCCCCTACACTTTCTTTAAAAGGTAAAGAGAAAGCAACAGGAGAAAACCTGGAGTATAAGGTGATGCAGAACGAAATAATCAGTGACAAAAGGAAGTGTAAACAAGAGCCTTTGGGTTCTTCAGACTCAAAGTCCAGGAGAAAGAAGAAATCAATCAGAATTTGTGCTTTTTTTATTTTTTATTTTTTTATTTTTTTGTTATAGTGGATGATGATGTCACATTGATGTGAATTAATAGATGGATGCAAATTGATCTGGCTGTTGCTTGCTTTGGTTTGAGCTGCAGTGAATAGGATTTTGATTTTTTTTAAAAAAAAAAAAGAAAAGCTAGGCTTTATTTTTCCCTTTTATGGAGTAAGAAGGCAGCAGCTTCTTTTTGCAAAGGAAATAAGACTAGCAGAACAGAAGATTGAATTGATAAGGAAAGATAATAGATAAATAATATTAGATCGATTTTACACACAGACATCTAACATTCGAGATAACGATGGCTTCACGCCTTCGCAAATCACATGCTTCATTTTTCTCAAGTTTTCATAAATTTTCAGTCTGATTACAATAAAGCAAAATCCATATATATCGGGTTTAAAATCCTATCTCTACTAAAATTCCTAATACAAATAAACTTCGGATTCTACTCCAATTTACAATAATTCTATTATAGAATTGAAATTCAATCATACTCCTATAATTTAAATTCAAACCAGACTTTAAAATTTAGATTTAATGTCCTAATCCCCTAACAAAATTATCTATCGAAGTTAGTATTTCCACAGGATGAGGACGCTTCAACAAAATTTGGACTTGATCTTTAAATTTTCCTATATCATAAGGCCTTCTACACATAAAATTTAACTTAGCAAGCATAAAAAATATTACATGCTAATATTTTGTGCCCAAATTGGTTTGAATATGTGCAACTTGTGAGTCGTGACCAATAAGAGTGCCACTGCCTGTTAGAAAAAGTCATGGGATTGTATTTAAAGGAGCAACGAGTACTAGATGCAGGCATAAACTAACATGGATGGAGGCAATTAAAAAGATCTGATTTTTGTTAGTTTAATATAAAAGATGGCCCTTCAGCAGAGCTGAATGGTAGAAAAGAAGTCTTGTAAGAAACCCAACAGTTTCTGGTGAAGGCTTTGTTTTTTTAGTTGTTTTATCATTTCATTATGGTTTTGTTTGGTGGTATGTCATGAGCGAAATGACATGTATCTTGAGCAGTTTCATTTTAACCTTTGAGGATTGCATTGATCTACTGATCTGATAATATCTCTTGAACCCAACTTTTACACGCTCTCTCTTTATTTTCCACCACAGGGAACCTTCTTTCGTACATTATATCTGATCATCCCCATCTTTGCATGTGAATAGAGATAACATTTATCAGATACTTATCATATAAACCTTTATTGCTATTAATAATTACAGAAAGCCCAGTATGCAGTTCTACTGAGTGGAACTCCTGCATTATCCCGGCCTATTGAGTTGTACAAACAGGTTCACTTATTCTCTATTTAAGGGACGGTTGGTTTTTGATTTATTTATTAGTTTGTCAATGTTTCGTTTATAAAAGTTTCATTTACATTAACTGCAGCTTGAGGCATTGTCTCCTGATGTGTACAAAAACGTTCACGACTATGGTAATAGATATTGCAAAGGTGTAAGTGATTATTAAAGTTGACCTTAGATGTAATTCTTTGATTCAATTGTGTTCTACCGCATCACGGATGTGAACTATGATTTTTTAGGGAGTATTTGGATTATATCAAGGTGCAAGCAATCATGAAGAATTGCATAGTTTGATGAAAACTACTGTGATGATTCGTAGGCTGAAGAAAGACGTTCTTACAGAACTCCCTGTAAAGCGTAGGCAGCAGGTAATGTATCACTACTATACTATTGTCTCTCTCTTCTTTTCCAAACCAGAGAGCATCTTTAACTAGCCAAAATTACTATACAAACTAGTTTATTTTTGCAATGGCATCTTTACATTTGATAAATGTCTGTAAGTATGATAGATGAAAACTGACGTTTTCAGAAGATGGTGCTTGTCATTAGAATACATATGGTCAATGTTGATGTTAAACTGGGGTATATTACATAGCTTGCGTGAGATTACATTTAGCTATATATTGACTCACGCTTGTTACATATTTCCACTTGTATAAAATTATATTTGATTGTTAATCCTTCACAAATCATTTCAAACAAGGAAAAACCATAAGAATAGTGGTTTGGCACATTCCTTGATTGAGTTCAGACATGTTCTCCTGATCGACCGCTTAACTCATTTCCTCTTATTCTTAAGTTTCACTCCCATCAGAACCATAGAGAACCTCTGTCTGGTTTCACTTTAAGAAGAACTACTTACGACTTGCAATAATATTATCCAATTTGTCAATGTCAATGATATCCCTCTTTTACCTGTAATGATAGTTGAAGATTGTAAAACTATGCTGAACTGTTAGTGCTTTCCTTGCATTTATGCCTATTATACTTCTGAACTCATTCGTTGAATAATCATATTGTTTTGAAATTTCTGTTTTGCAGCATTACATCTTCAAAAATGTATCTTTAATTAAAAAAAAAATGATGTTCTGTACAAGTGTACTGATAACCTCTGGCCCTGAACAAGCTATTTGTTGATGGACCTAATATGGTGGCTTAGCTATATAAATTCAAGTTATCAATTCAGGGGCAAGTTGAAGAGGAAGTAAAAAATTTATGCCTCGTTGAATGGGATGAATGGATTTGTTGCTGCTATCTTCTTCATCTAAGCTTTTACTTATAGTTTATTTTGCAAATAGTGGGGAACTTTGTTAGTGCTTTGTACGTATTTTTTCCTTCATATTTGTCAATCTCGCAGGTCTTCTTGGAGTTGAGTGAGAAAGACACGAAACAAATCCGTGCTTTATTTCGCGAGGTGATCAGCATGATTGACTTTATTAACTAATTACTTGCGTACATCTTTTATGATAATTGGTAAATTGCAAAAATATTATAAAAAAAACTTTCAGGTTCTTTTTGTTTAAACCAAAGCTAGAATGCAATTGGAAGACACTATTTAATTATCATATTGGTAACGGAATGTGATAGATCACTGATTTTGGAAGGAAATGTCAACTGGTTCAATATATTTCCAACTGAAAATTGTTAAACAGCTAATTCAGATACTATTACCAGGACGTCAAATTTTAAATGGATAAAATGGTACAAGTTTGTAATCTTTAATTCTCTTGTGCTCGTCAATAGATAACATTATATGACTTGGTAAGATTACAAAGGGTTTTAGTAGTGCATTTTCACATAACTCCCCATAGAAGAAAGCCTTGTCATGCTGTCAGGGTTCCTGCATGTTATCTGCTGAGCTCGATAGTGCATCCTGAACCGAAATTTGGCATTAATGAATTAACCCCATGTTTATGTAGCCCGTGGAGTATTGAAGGATAACCTGCATTTGTGTTCACATAAACAACTCACCATTCAAGTACTTTAGGCTTTTCTAGCAGCCTATCACACTCTTAATAACCATTCTCCAAACTCGGACAGATAACAAAAGAGCTATATCAGGTAGTGTTATCCAGGATGTCAACTCCTAACAACATTACTTGTGTTTTTGTTATATTGCAAGTTGCTAAGTTGAGCTTCACTGGGTCATGCCCATTAAGTAATCGCCAAACTGAAACACACATTCTGAGCCTTGGTTTAATACAAATTCTAAGTACTTCGCCTTCTTGCTTGATGATGAATGAATCAAGCAAAACTGGATCTCACCTAGGCTTCAGTTAAACACTCGAGACTTTCCGACTAAACTGAACCTTTAGGTGAGGAAAAATAGTTGGCTTTCCTCAAATTTTTAAGCGATAGCAAATTTGCTTTATATAGAAAGCAATGGATCAATATCCGCATCCTACCCTGTTCAGAAACTATTCAAGATGGACAAATTGTATGTTCTATTGTTCATAATGAATTAGTCATATCTACTTGCAAAAATAAATATGTTATGGACCTACTAAACATTTATGGATAGTTTATAATCCCTCACTTGTTATATTTTTGTATCTTCTTATTGCAATTGGAATGATGCCTCTAGCTCGGCATAAACACATGGAGTTCACTCTGAGCATATCGAATATTACATAATTGCATCTTCAGTTGAAGTTTGAAAAGAAAATATGAACACACATACAACCTTTAATGCTACAAGGAAATATCATATTTTTTTCATGCAGTGTATTTCACTTACATGGACCGAGGCTGTTGTTTTAGTTACATGTGGCTACTCCTTTTCTTAATGCCTCTTGTGTGGTGCTCGTATTGCAGTTGGAGTTTGTAAAGAACAGTATGAAAGCTAGTGAATCCAGAGAAGAGCTCGAATCACTAAAACTTTCTCAGAAACATCTTATCAACAAGGTGGGCAAGCTCTTATTGCACATTTTTCTTTGCGAGTTGTTTTGATGCAAGATAGACTTGGCCATTTTTGTAAGAATTTGGTAGCAAAACTTTTCCGTTCAAATTTGATGCTTGACCATTCATAGTGAAGACCAGTCTATTAAACGCTTTCTACATTCTAAGGTGCTTAAAAACCGATATTTTATGTTTTGGCTCATGCATCAGGAGATACAGTCCCCTCGCCCCCTCTTATTTATTTATTTTTTTGGGAGGGTTTTTTTTTTGTTGGGGGGGGGGGGGGG